TGCATTTACACTAGGAGAGGGGGATGCTTTTTTTGCGATAGCATTATCAGCACAGAATGTAACAACAAATGACTTTAGAGAAATAGCAGGATGTCTTAAAAATAGTAAACCACTATTTACTTCGTTCGGAATGGATTTATTTGGAAATACAACAACCTTTATACATTTTGAGGAGACCCAAAAATTGTTTATGTTTGAGTTCAATAATGTAACGTGCAGACACGAACGCCAATATAAATGTTTACTATATGTTACATCAAGTATAAGTGTCTTACCACGATTGTTCGAGTCAGATATCATGTGGATTTCTGTGACAGGTAATTGTAGCAAAATAGATTGTTGTGCTTCACTTACGAAACAACATATTTATATTCCTTTATATATCCATTTCTGTGTAGCAACATTCCAGCATCGTCTGCATACGGAGTATATATCTCCCAGTTGATACAATATTCCAGGTCTCATGATTTCCTTAGTAGAAGGTTATTGCTCACAAAGAAGCTATTAAACTAAGAGTTCCAAGTGGTGAAGTTCAAATCATCCCTTCGTAAGTTTTACAGAACAAATCACGCGTTGGTTGACCGTTATGGAATATCCGTTTCACAGATGATAACGGATATATTCCTATTGTCGTAACTACAATCCCGTCCCCTTTTCCCTAATGTGACCTACCGAATAAGACTTACTACCGGTTGTGTACTAACATGAGCAACATGACGAATGCCACATGTGGAGAAGGATCTGCTTACCCTTTCGGAGCACCTGAGATCACCCCCGAATTTTGGTGGGGTTTGTGTTGCTCAGTCTTTAGTTTTCTATGTTGTGTTTTGTGAACTATTGTTTGTCTGTTGATCTATTTCTTTTTTACCCATGGCGTTGTCAGTTTGTTTTTGACTTATGATATAAACAAGAAGATGTTGTATGATTGCCAATGAAACAAATCTTCACAACAGACCAAATGACACAGAAATTAACAACTATAGGTCACCGTACGCCCTTCAACAATGAGCAAAGCCAGTACCTCATAGTCTGTTCTAAAAAGCCCATAAATGACAAATATAAAACTATTCAAACGAGATAACTTATAGCCTAATTTATGTACAAAATAATGAACGAAAAACAAAAATGTAACACAGCAACAAACGAAAACCACTGAATTACAAGCCCCTGACTTAAAACAGGCACATACAGAATTTGACGGGGTTAAACATGTTAACGGGCGCCCAACCCTCCCCTAACCTGGGACAGTGGTGTACCAGTACAAAAAAAGAACAAACTATAAAAATTAGTTGAAAAAAGTTTAACTCGTCAGATTGATACAAATTGAAATACATCTAACAAAAACACAGAATGGACGTGGCTGGGTACTAGTAAATTCCAACAACAAAAAAAGACACTAAGTACAGATCTGAGAGTACTCGCAGTTACTGACAGCTAGTTCAAAGCCAATAACAACTAGTAAAAAATAATCATGTATCTAAGACTAATTTATGAGTTTTAATGTCTCTCTAGATCTGATATCTTTCGCCTCTCTTTAATAAATTTCAAGGGAACAAACAATTTTTGATTAGCGTTCGACAATATAACGTACAGACATGAACGCCGATAAAAATGTAACTATATCTTATTTCAAGCATCTAACAAAGGTTAAATTAAGTCAGACATCATGATGATTTCTGTAGAAGAAGCCACGTGCACATGGGTTGTTGTGATCTACACGAAAACACGACATTGCACAATGTCCTAATGTTCTAGACATCAAATGTACACCAAAGGTATACAAATTTGGACGACCAAAGTTTAAATTTTGATTATACTTATCCGAAGGAACAAATTCGTTTTTAAATCCGGACACACTTTTCAAATCCAGAACAGTTTTACATATGCATCAAAAAGCATGTTATGCATCATAACTTAAGAAAATTATATTTGACAAACCGGCAACACAATTAGAAAAAGAATAACAGTACATCATGTACATAGACAGCAAATTCGAGTCCCAAGTACATGAACAATCCCTCTTGAAATCATATTGGTGTATGCGCCTGATCATCCAAATTTCTTTATTTTTCCATTTTATCAGTGTTCTGATAAAGCAACGGAACCAAAGAGAATTAATAAAGAAAATCATTTCATTCAGAAGTACCGTCCAAAATTAAATCGGTAGAATGAGAATCCGGAAGACGTTTCTATATGTTACTTTCACTTTAAGTACCTACGTTGTACTTTGTAATGACGTCCAGGATTCAATGATGATGTCGCTAATAGACGTTACCCCTGACGACGTCGAAAGTAACCGAATCCATGAATATCTGTGAAACAGTGAAACCGGTAGGAAATTATTAAGAACATTTTACAACAATTTGATGTCTTAATAGACAAATGTGATTATTCATATTGAATATAAATATCTAGTGCATTTTCAGCCTAATTTTTTTTCCTATATATATATATTATTGCAGTGCATCCTTCCATACCTGAAATAGTTTTCCCAAAGACAGAAATGCAGAACAAAAGCGATACTGACTCATCTACACATGACAAAGAAAATAAAACATCATCACTTATTTCGCTTCAAAACGACACTCGTAATGTTGCTTTTTCTGAAGGAGACACTATATCAATAATATGCCATGGAAACGTCGGGAGGCCAAAAGGAAGACTTCTTTGGCAGAAAATCTACCCAAGTGAAACTATATTGAATTATTCAAACATATCAACTGAAACGACACAAGAGCCTTGTTCCTATTATGGTACCAGTAATTTTACTATGCAAATGACGCCTGCTGACAACCTGGCAATAATACGATGTATTGTTATATCCAAGGTTTCAAAAGTGAATATGTATGCAGATTCCAAAACGCTAATGATTTACTGTAAGTACCATTCACGATAACGATAAGAACAACTTTTCTATTAATATCAGAGGGAGTTACATGTGAGAGTGGATAATGTTCGTATAACGTATAAGTATCTATCTTTTAGAACGATATTGATGTAAATATTGATAAATAAAGTACCCTTTAAACTTTGTCTATAATGAAACTTATCAATTTTACATGTGGGTATTTTTTTAAGTTTTAACCTAACGACTAAATTTAATTCATATCCTATATGATAAATCGTAAAGACATATTTACGTTTCAAATAATCATTTCAAAATGTAATCAATGAGGTTACATGGATACATGGATACATATACTGAAAGTACTGAAAGAACAAAATATGATGAGCGATTTGATTACAAAACGAGTTTTAGTTTATCAAATTCCAAAAATGAAATTAGAACAGAAATCAACTTAAAAAGAAATTGCAATAATTTGTTTTTTTCCACAAATTATTGCCACATAACTTACATGGTAAACTTCGCACAATAACAAGAAAAAAACTTGAGTCAGATGTTGAACTGCAGATCAAGGCAACTTTATAAAGATGTGTCTACTGTATAATGAAAATAACCTCTCTTTATTATATATATCGAATTGAAATATAGTACCTTGATGTATGAACAAAGCAACATAAATTATAATATTGAAAGCATCAAACACACTAATGACTTGTTTTGAATATTGCTGTAATTGTAGTTAAAGTAAGGAAACCGTTAATATCAGTGCAACCAAACAAATCGAAATACCAGGACGGGCAATCAATTCGACTAAGCTGCAAAACCTATGGAAACCCATATCCTTCCTATTCGTGGACTAAGGGCAATAGGAGCAAAGAAATAATCGTTGACAAAGACACCCTGGTCATTGAAAAGGCAAACATCTCCGACAGCGGTTTATATACATGTAATACCAATAATTCTATACGTGACAAAATTTATTCAGAGTCTGTATCAATATACATAAATATAGGTAAGAACATAATAAGATACATGCAAATATTTATACGAACGTGTGTTTGAATCTTTTAGTCAGTTGTGTTGTATGTCTGTGATGTTTGTGTACATATCATTGTCACATTAACGTTTTATATCTGTTATGGTTGCTCATCCAATGTGATCAATGTAACAGAACTAATAACAACTGTCATACAAGTGGGTGGTTTAGGTAGCTATAAAACCAGGTTCAACCCACCATGTTCTCCGGAAAACCCATGTACCAAGACAGTAAGTTGACAGTTGTTTTCCATTCGTTCCGTTGCTGATCAAGTCTTACGTTCGATTTTATCGGTTTTTATGGACTTTCCCTTTTTAGATATACCGTGGAGATCAGTTTGTTTTTTTAATATTTGTTTTCATTTACTCAATTTTCATCAGATACCATCGAGATTTTAACAGAATCATGGAAAGATTCACAGTCAGTTAAACATTAATAACGATCATCAAGGATCTGTTTATTGCTCTTGTCATGTAATATATCTAATTTCTTACCATTTCCATTATGCATATTTTTATGTTTACTGTCACTCTTTTTTCGAATTATTGTTTTCTGTTTCTTTTAACGGGCTGTTCTTAAACTTCAACAATTAGCCAGTTTTTACTAAATGCAATCTTAATATAGACAACAGTAATTTAAGGTACTGATGTAAAGAAGACACATCAACGTTTCAAACACAACTTAGGGGATCCCATGAACTCAACCAATTCTTGTTTGTGACTTATGTAGTTACATGTTCAGTCGTTTTTCTTCGGCAATTTTGCATAATCAAGTGTTACTCTTTTTGCATTTTGCTTTTATGAATTTATAATCCAGTTTGTTAGATGTCGCCATAACAAATGTTGTATATTGATTTGTTTGTTGTCTCAATCGTCATTAATTGTTGGTTATTGTTTTTTTTTACATAATTCGTATATCACAAAAATGTCCTCACTACAAGTACATATCAAAACAAACTTTATACGTTATATACCCTTTGATTTGTATTTTCTTGAGTGCGATTAATCAACCTATGCTTCCTAAATTGTATGTTTTTTTAAGCGTTTTTGGAAGTAATAATGCTTACAATCAAAAACGTTTTTTTTTTGTAAAGTGTAGAACAACTTTGTTTGTTTTTTGTAGAACAAATTACGCATATCCCTTCTGGAAAAACTAAAGACGTAACGACAAGTCAAGCAGGTAGCATTTAATTGTCCTAATGCTTCACTGTACACGCTGTTATATAATTGAGCAAATTATGCTAAAACTTATGAAGTACATATTTATAGTGTTATATTTGATGGATTTTCTCTCAATGACACGTACTTTAAGCCTTCTTATATTTTGTTTTACGTGGTAGTAACAAGAAATATATTCGAGATGTGGTGTCAATTACCCGGTCATCAGAATATTCAGTTTCCGTCATCAATTAAGTTATAGATAATGCTGATGTATTATTATTCGTCGGATACCCATTGTTGTGGATTTCGTGGTTACCCGGGAACCAGGAATTCCAATGTCCAACGAATTTCAAATTTTCGTCAGGAATTTATGCAGACTTTGGTCAAATGACAAAATCAAATATCCACGAAAATTGGTACCAACAAAAATGAATGAATCCACAGTAATTCATTTTGTTAAGGGTATTCTTGTTGCATAACACACCGAGAGTTGTCAAGATTGATCAAATGATCTGTGGGCTATGCCGACACCTCAAGGCGTGTTATACTCCAAAAAAACCTTTTGCATTATCTATGCACATGTAATATACCATAAAAAAATTCTGCAATAATTTGCATAAAATTGTATCCCATTTTACCGATTACATTAAAGTGATACAATCTTTTTTTATGCGGTTTGGTATAACTGCAGAATCAATAAAATGTGAAATAAAGCTGACTTATCTAGGAATAATGGTCAACAATCACTGCACAGTTACATTTGAATGTTAGTGTATTAGCATAAAATGCATCAATTTTTAATATGTTTGAAAAACAAAAGTCGCTTTGGTAAGGAAAATATCATCGATTAGTTTTATAAAAGGGGTGCTTTGTTTTTTCTTTGATTTTATGACAAATTACCTCGGAAACGCAGATTATGTTTCAAGCATGAATTAAATGAAAGAATTCAAAAACACTGTTTCTTCTCTCTTCTGTCTGGCAATACAAGTGTTTCTTCAATAATTGAGAATCAAGATGGAAATGTTAGTACCCCTCCTCATTAAATTACATTTCTGTTTCCCTACAGGTAAAAACATTGGTTATTTGATGGTGTTAAAGCTATATGAATGGGGGGGGGGGGGGGGTGTTTAAATCCCAGCTGCACAACTGTACCCCAAATCCCATGTTGAGACCATCCCCCCCCCCCCCCCCCCCCCCCCCCTCCCCCGTGGTGAACAAGAAGATTTTATAAACTCATTCTTTATTAACTTAAGACGTGAATATGATTAGATTTTGCCATTTCAAAAGTGTCACGAAACATGTGAAAATTTCTGCATTATTAATGTTATCTCTCCATTTATCGTAGCGATAACAAACTTTTTTTTTTTTTCGAAATTCAAATTTGATGTATCAGTCAAATAAATGGAGGAAATGATTGTTTCTGTCTTAAACCTTTTTTTTAAAGTCAAGACTATGTAAGATTGTTCCCACTTTGACAACACCACATTATAACTATCAAATGAATATGTTCACAAACTGTTGTTTGCATTTTCAAAAAATTACCTTACACAGATAATTTTGAAATTTTTTATCGCCTGAGCTGTTTTTTTTTTTTTTTTTTTTTAAAGATCCATTGTTCTGAAATAAAAAGGTAACTCCATTTTGGCATATATTAGTGATGCAAGCATTTTAATTGAAATTAGAAACAACTTGTCTTTGAAAAGAAGTGTTTTGACTGTAGTATTAAAAAAAACAAAAAAAACCAGAGTCGTACGAAACAAAAAAGTCAACGAGTTTGAAAAAGCCAAACAGAAAACCCTAGATTGAACTTCAAAAAACCAAGTAAATAATGGAGTTTAAGAAAGGAAGCAGTTTTCACTCCCTTACGTCTAGTAATATATTATCATGACTCAATTATTTAAGAGTATCTCTAGTTTTGCCTTAAAAATGAAAAGTTAAGTAAATGCTCTTTTTACATTTCAGTTGTAATAGTCGTTTGTGTTAGTCTTATAGTTATAGTATCTGCAACTATTTTTATAACGTGGTACAGAAAACAGATAAAGTATGAATATTTATTAATATGTTTTCTTTTTCCAACTCAATGCAAATGTTTTTTCCGCTTTTTTTTTTATCTTATTTTATAATGATAACTCTAAGTTTGATCACAATGATATTTAATCTCGGTATTAATATGTTTGTAAGATGTTATAAACAAGTTGATATCAGCATTTTTGAAATAGTTTTGATTGTATGGGTATACACTTACTAGGTTATCTTGAAAAAACTACGTATTGCTTTAACAACTAAAAGAAAAGATATTATAAAGTACTTATTACTTACAAGCAAAAGTCTGAAATGGCCTATATCTGCACTTGACTGTACTGATTTTTACTGAACCAGTCTGAATTAGTCTGAATTTTACTCGATATATCTCGACCGTAATCTTAACCATACTTGACTGTATTGATTTGTACTTGATCCTTATCTTTGCATTAGATAAAAATCTGAACTACTACTCGACCAGTCTGAAGCAGTCTTAACCCATTTTCGACCTGTACTCGATCAGTTCTTGACTCATTTTGCAGTCTGAGCCATACTCGACCAAAGGTCTGAACCAAACTTGGCAACAATATGAACAATACTCGACTAGTCTGAACCATACTTAACCAAATAACCTTTACTTTTCTTAATTTCAACTGTTCACTAATAGAAACTAAAAAAAAACGGAATTACTATTAAATTGAGTTACTTCCCTTATTTCATATCTTCAATTGAGATAATGATTATATACACAACATTTTCAGGTAAATAGTTATTACATTTTATAAGATGGTGTAACAGAAATACATGCACGTTATACGACTATAAAATGTCATTTATATTTAAAACTTGATAAAATGCCAATATATTCATACATACCAGAACACACCCGCGATATTGCCGATACGTGACTGAATTGAAGTACCTTTGCCTTATTTTTAGCCTGGATTTTTAGTATTCGTAATTTCATCTGATAACGTCGTGCTAATTACCAGGTGCACAGTTTACTCTGCTTTCAAATTCTTTCTGTTTGAACCCGTCCTGGTTTTCTTACTGCAGTGTAACTTTACCGGTTTACCGTTCGTTGACATGACATTAATGCGGCATCCGGGGTGACTGTAGCATTATTTTGTATTTAAATGTTTTCATAGTTTGCATTTTTTATATTTTGAGGATGTGCGAATATGGCAAGTGTGTGTTCGTATGTTTTATTGCATAGTACTTCTTGTTTTGGGGAAGGTTAACTTTCTGGTAGTAAGACCCCTTACGGCCTGGCTAGGAAACTGTATAGGCAAATGCTCACATTAAATCTGCACCAATGCAGTGTACTAAATATCCTCCTTAACACCATAACCCATGGTGGTGCTCCTTCTAAAGGAGGCAGACACAGAACATACACTAATACATACAACCGGAAACCACATGTGACACATACTATTTATATCGGTATCGGATTTGACACGGAACTTGTTGATAATTGGTAATATCAATTATATGGGGGAAAAAAAGGACCTGAAATGATATAATTGTTAATCAACACCTTTGTCTAGTATTAATTATATATAACGTTTAATTCTTTGATTCGTCGTTTTTACGTCATGCCGGATAACAAATTTGACATCGATATTTTAGTAGTATAGATGTACGAAGGTCTTTACTGAACTTCAATACAAAAACGAAAAATTCTAGCAGTTACATATTTTTTATGTACATTTACACATGCAAGTAAACATCTTTTAAAGATGGAAATTTTAAATTTTCCACCTAAGGGAAATATCTGTTGTTAAAAATAGTTCCAAAAATTGTTGAAATACAAAAGATAGATACAGAAATACGTCTGGGTTGGTTAAGACTTGGTCGAGTATAGTTCAGACTAAGTTGCAAATAGTTGATAATAGTTCGAGTATGGTTCTGACTTGGTTGTGAATGGTTAAGACTTCGTCGAGTGTGGTTTACGGTATTTTTACGGAAAAAGTTTTTCAAATTATCTTTTTACATTAATCCTACTGTTAAAAGTTTGATAATAATTTTGAAACGTCAGTCGGTTTGCTTTGTTGATTGGATAAAAATACTTGTGTTGAAGTTGTTTAAAATATAATGCATAGTGTTATGTTTGATAAAAGTGTATATAAAAGAATAAAATGTTAAATTGAAAAAAAAAATCATACATCAATGGAAAAAAAAGACAAACAAAAATCAACTTAAAACATTTAGAGAATAAAACAAAACCACTCACTCTATTTCTGTTTGTTTTGTACCGATAATATTATTGTTTTTATTAAACAGTATAGAAAATACAACAACTGCTAGTAGGACATACGAATCGCTTCAAATGAATAGTTTCAATTCCGGAGTCAGCTATTCCGATATCCAGCCAACAGAGATAGGATGCAATCAAGAAAAAGAATGTAACATGTACGTAACATTTTTAAGTTGCACTAGGAATGACTAGGGAGGGCAATATATAAATAACAGATAACAAGACTCATTAGATTAGTATACAAACAGATATCAAAGTTTAACAAAAGGTAATAGGTAGGCAACCATTTATCAAGGAAACTATAAAAGATGGTTTTAAAAATACACATCAAACATTTGATTTACTTCCAGTGGTCTGGTTTACTTTTTCAATAATCTGTTTCTGGTGTTCCGTTGTTTTCCTCTTATGGTTGATGTGTTTCCCTCGGTTTTAGTTTGTAACCCGGATTTGTTTTCTCTCTATCGATTTGTGACTTTTGAACAGCGATATACTACTGTTGCCTTTATTTACTGTTTATTTATGTGTGTTCAGGTTGATATAATTAGAAAGCTACACTTTCAGATTGCACCAATGAAACTACCATGTTCCATAATTAAATTTAAAAACAAATCTAATTCGATAATGCATTAAAATCCTGTATTTCACCAAAAAAAACCCAAACTATTATTTCAACTAAGATATAAAGCTATACAATCTTGGGAAAAGGGGGTGTTTTGGGGGTTGATGAAGTATAGGAAAACAAAGAATTTTGTGCAATACCATTGAATACGCATTCTTTTAAATTCAATGTTAGTCACCGTTATTTTGTAACTTAACTTAGTCAACAGAAATAAATACTAACGATGAAAAAGATGGTCTGCTCAATATTTGTTAACTTTTGACCTGGACTGCTTTACATCGATTTATAAAATATTTTAAAAGGTTTCTGTTTCTTGATATAAACAATACAGTTTAGATAAATACAGTACGCATAAAACTTTCTTTGGAATACACATATCACCGTATTCTGCTCTTTCACAGACCAAAACTCAGTTAAAACAAACAGCTAAGTTAACGTACATTGTATACTTCAATAAATATCAAATTATTATAGTAATCTATATTCTATATAAAATATTTATATTCAGTTCCGTTTTAAAATTTTGCAATTCGTGTAACTGTCACAAATAAATCTTTAGTTTCAATATCACAGGAAGGTTTGTTCAAAAAATACATTCGACCACAACATCCACAACTGATTATGAAAATTATGGTGCGGTATAAATTAAAGTACTAGATTTGTAACTCAGGATGAATTCTTTATTTCAAATGACATCGGTATTGGATTCACAATGACTACAACATTTTGTTCGCATCAATTTAGAGTCTAGCAGCATTTCCTCTTTTATTCAACATACTTATAATAAGCCGTCACTAAAAATCTGATTAGTGCATATCTCATGATGGTTTGTATAAAAAGAATATTTAACTGCATCATCCAAAACTGACCATATGTATGAAAGTTACATAGCGGTGTAAATTAAATCAGTAAATATGTAACTCATGATGGATTGTTTAATACAAATGACAGCAATATAAGTACATTGTGGCTACTAAATTTTGTTGGCATCAATTAAGAGTTCCAGCATTTCCTCTTTTTATTCAAAATACTTAGCCATCACTAAAAATCAAGATGGTTCGTATGAAGATCGAATCATCCAAAACTGACCATATGTAATGAAATTTATATGGAGGTATAAATGAAATATTAAGTAAATTTGTTGCTCAGGATCGATTGTATTATACAAATGACAACAATATTGGAACGCAATCACTACAAGCTTTAGTCTGCATCAATTTAGAATGCCACCATTTCCTCTTTTTATTCAAATGCTTTGAAATTATTTGACCATAATTGTACTTTTATGAAAAAAAATAATCATAAATCGGTAGAAATGGCTAGACAAAAACTGACGAGAAGGTTTAAAGGTTCTTTGGAGAATTATACAACACCTTATATATCCGGGCACTATAAAACTTTCGTTTGTACATTCTCTCGAAAATCTATTCGTAAATCCAAAGCAAAGAAAGTGATTTACGAAAATGTAAAACAAAAATGGGGAACGAAGCATGATAGACAATGTTTTAACTATTCCATCATATAAACATATTTTGCCAATGCGTTGAAAAACATTTGTATCCGCCTTCAAATAAAAAAAAATAAAACAATTTTCCTCTTTTAGGATACCTGCATGTTTATATATTTCGATCAAAAGCTGCAACATTGTATAACCATTATTCTATTTATTCAAGAATGAATGAGAAAAAAAAATATGTTTGAACGTGTATGCGTATAGAGTATAGAGCATAGTGTAAATAGTGTAATATTTTGCTGTACTGGAAGAAGAATAATACGATTATCGTTTATATAATCAGAAATCAGATCTGATATGAAGACTATTAAACAACGCCAATCTGTCAAAAGCAGACCTGTTCTTAATTAGTTTTGGTCAGGAGCTGACCCATTCTCAGGACCTGTCTAAAGCAGGTCTGGTCTGGAGCAGACCTGTCCTCAGTACTGGTCAAACTGAGCAAACAAGTCAACAGGTGTGGGTTGAAGCAGACTTAGGAATAAGTTTGCAGCTGTCCGAAAAAAGCAGATCTAGGTCAGTTTTACCGCCGATGAAGTTAATTTGCTTTTCTGTTTAAAATTTCTTGTGTACATTTGGAAAGCGGTCAACAAATCTGCCCCATTTAGGTGATAAAAAGTAAGGAGCTGAATGAACAAAAGTGACATGAAAATAACAGCCAAAATGAATGTACGATGCATTACTTTGGACAGAAATGTGACGTATTTCATAGCATTAAGAAATCAATTATATTCTATGATTTTTCATTTCATTTATATTCTATGATTTTTCATTTCATTCATATGAATCACTTATCAATTTCTTACTTATGTGTAACATACAGTTACCTTGTGACTTTGCGAAAGTCTAAATAAACATACCATTCACTTCACTTCCAACACATTGTTTTTTTTACGACATAATTTCGTTAAAATATAGTTTTGTTATATAGTATAAGCTATATTTATCAGATAACAAGCATACTCTGTACCAAACGTATACAGGAGTACGATTACTCTTTGTGGTATTAGTTTACTATACGGCTTTGGACTTCTGCACTTGTTGTACTTCTACTATTTTGAGCGAACACAAATATTCAAGGAGTGTTTACGTTACAGAACACATTTTGTCTTCTTTTAATATTAAACGCTACATCATTCTTACATTGTAGCTTTTAACGAAATTCGCAACTGTTATCTTCTTCGTACATTTCTTTTTCCATTTTTTTTATATAGAAAAGACACTAGCGATACTTCATCTTCTATACAACAAAGCCATTCTGATAATAGAACCTACATTAACATGTCATTTGACAATGATAGTTCATTGATTAAAGAAGAAAATCGACAAGTAGTATTGGCAACGCTCACAGTATGGCCATGTGCTCAAGATAGTGAACACATAAAGAAAGGAAGTAATAGACACTCTAAAATAGTGTACGAAAATGTGAAAGATACAGATCGAATCACTCCAAGGCAAGGGAGCACTGATCATCGAACATCTTTATAAAGATAAAAAACACGAATCCGGTAAAGTCAGTAACATGGTAATTGAACAGGAGCATTTTAGGTGTTACCCAATAAGGTCACAAGTTGTTCATAGATGGACTAAGACAAATGACAGATGATTCACAATTAGTTTTAATAATTAGGGAGTGTATTCAAAAGATTTACAATTTACATTCAATTTGTTTGTTTTTTGTATTTATTGCTCATAGACTCAATGCCGGACATGTATCTTTTACAAAGATTCTGATAATGCAATTTTCGTTTATTATTCTTGCAAACACGAACCGATTTCAATTATGAATTCACATTTCTTTATATTTTGTGATGAACTTTTAATAAGCTGCATGTAACCATATCATATGATATTGAAAACTAACTGCTCTCAGTCCTGTTTTCTTTTACATTGCAAATGTTAAGATTTGAAGTATAGTATGGGTTTCTTTGAATTTTACCCAAATTTCATGACTTATTCTACTGCAATTCCTCAGTTGTAAATTCCAAAGACAACTAAATAAATGTATCACGTTCTAACCGAGATGGGTCCGAAAGAATACCAAAAGATGTCCTGATCAATTTGATTTTTCTTTACAACAACAAAGACTATCAAGCGCAATGTGTAAACAAAGTAATTTGTGAATTCTGACAACAATCAAGGGTCACATGAATACATTTAAATTATTTGTACAAAACGTTTGATTCTTAGTTATCAGTGTAATCACTTGTCAATTCCCCACTTCAGAGATCAGGCAAAAACATATGTCAAGGGGACTGGAATTAAGCTCTAACGCATAAAATAAATTAAAGGAAAGGTGCTTTTAATGCAGAATAGATACGACGACGATAACCCCAAAAACAGCTGTTTTTCCTTAGAATTAATTAAAAGTGTCTCAATGTTTATATTGTATATAGATATAAGAAGATGTGGTATGAGTGCCAATGAGACAACTCTCCATCCAAGTCAAAAATTAAAAAAAGTAAACTATTATAGTGTCAAAGTCTTCAACACGGAGCCTTGGCTCACACCGAACAGTAAGCTATAAAGGGCCCCAAAAATTACTAGTGTAAAACCATTCAAACGGGAAAACCAACGGTCTAATCTATATAAAAAACGAGAAACGAGAAACACTTATGAACCACATCAACAAACGACAACTACTGAACATCAGATTCCTGACTTAGGACAGGTGCAAACAAATGCAGCGGGTTTAAACGTTTTAATTGTACCAAACCTTCACCCTTTTTCTGAAACAAGAGTGTAGTTTGTTTGTTACTGTAAAATATGGTTCAGTAACTATAAAACTGTTACTGTTAAATGTTGTAAATTTTGTCTTGCATTGATTGAAAATACACTCTTTAGAAATATATTTGAGAACATTATGCAACGATCACGCGACACTGATGATAAATCCATTCGAATCGAGGCAGGTAAAACATAATTTCATTAACGATTTAAAAATTAGAGCACAAGATACATATTTGTGGTTAAATGTTGGTTGAGGTTCACATGAAAAACTACAAAGAAAATAAACTAGTTGGTTTTTCCGTTTGAATGGTTTTACACTAGTAATTTTTTGGGACCCTTTATAGCTTGCTGTTCGGTGTGAGCCAATGCTCCGTGTTGAAGGCCGTACCTTGACCTATAATAGTTTACTTTTATAAATTGTAACTTGGATTGAGAGTTGTCTCATTGGCACTCATACCACATCTTCCTATATCTAGTAAACATGACTTAAAACTAAAACTTTAAAAGCTACCAATCGCAACTTGTATCTGTTTAGATATTCTATAAAACAAAAGAGGCGGAAGATAGCAAAGTGACAACCAAATCTTATCAGTAGAAATGAGACCGACAAAAACATGAAAAAAAAAAACAAAAAAAAAAAAACAAAAAACACAAACAAATAGAGTGATTAACAAAATCAAAAAGAAAAGAAAATATGCTTATGAACAATGACCACAGATCACCAACCAAATTTGATAGATATAAGGTAGCTAAAATTAGTAATGGTCAACAGTTTTACGTCCCTAATAATTTCTAAAATTGTTTCAATTCATTAGAATATAAGTTATTTGTCAATTTAGAGAAAAGTACATTTCATCACTCACCTAATAATAGCTAATGATTATATATAAAAATAAGAAGATGTGGTATGATTGCTAATGAGACAACTCTCCACAAGAGACCAAATGACACAGAAATGAACAACTAAAGGTCAACGTACGACCTTCAACAATGAACAAAACCCATATCTCATAGTTGGTTATAAAAGACCCCGACATGACGAATGTAAAACTCTTCAAACGAGAAGACAAAAGGCCTAATTTATGTACAAAATAATGAACGAAAATCAAATATGATACACAACAACAAACAACAATCACTGAAATACTGGCTCCTGACTTGAGACAGTCACATACAGAATGTGACGGGGATACACTAGTTTGAAGGCGCCAACCCTCGCCTGACTTGGGACAGTGGTGTAACAGTACAACATAAGAACAAACTATAAAAATCAGATGAGAAAGGCTCAACTCATCAGATGGATACAAATAGAAATCCATCTAACAACAACACAGAGTGGACGTGAGAGGGTACTAATATATCCCCACAACAAAAAGACACTAAGAACAGATCTGAGAGTAATCGCAGATACTGACAGCTAGTTCAAAGCCAGTTACAACTAATAAAAAATCATGCATCTAAGACTGAAATAGTTCTCTTTTCATTTTTCTGCCGTGCAGATCATCTTATCTCGCTACACAATAAATGTTGTTATATGTAAAATTTTCAATTGATCAGTACGATACGGAGCATATGTGAGTAAATTTAAAAACTGGAATATTTGGTAAAAAGAAAACATTACATTGATTTCTTATTATCTTATGTTGTAACGCTCCACTGTATTTGTCCATTTCTGAAAGATTTATAACTTAAAGTATACATTCTTTATCCGAACGTTTACGTTGGCAGTGATGCCTTGGTTGCTTGGACACTATTGTGTCATGGATTACGACGGATATGATTCGTTGTCGTAACAACCATTCAGTAAATTCAGAAATGCTTGCGATGTGTTTAATTATTATTGCAAAAAAAATGCGACTACAAAGGTTTCGTAAAAATGTGACTTGCAATTTTAAATGTTAGAAGCATTATTTTTATGCAGCATTTCATGAAATTCCAATAAGCAATCTCACAATGTTATCCTTTTAAGATAAATTGCTGTAATAAATGCAAGCAAGCATTCTTGTTTTTTCTCATATAATTATGTCATAAATTCTACATCAGAAATATGCACTTGTCATTAGCAACACGACTGGTTCATATACTAATGCAGACGTTGTTTTTTTCTGAACTTCAATTAACATGCGAACGTTTTTGATTCGAGCGTCCCTTTTGTCTTTTGTTGACGAAACACGCGTCCGGCGTAAAAAGTTTCAATGCTGGTATCTTTGATGAGTGTATTTTTCATTTAGGTAGATGTAGCCAATAGTCACAGTTGTATTATATTCACGTGTTTCCATATCATAATACTAGAATGTTTACTGATGTCGCCATACCAATATCAATCACAATGGATTATTGCTTTTTCAGTATTTTTCATTTCTCTTTACTTAAGGATGTCATTCTATTGAATCCATGTAATGGAATATTCGTTCCTTGTTTTGTTTGATATGCATGTTATGCAGGGACATTTATCAATACAATTAATTTATCACTGACACTTTTACAAGACTGATATTTATATCGTAAAAATGTTGAATTGTTTACCTAATCTAATGACAAATATGGAATTATTGTAGGAATTAAAGTTAACATAAAATGAAGAAAGAGAAATTGATTGATTGATTAATTGTTTGTTGTTGATCGCGAACAGTTTTTATTTATCAGGGGCTCCTTGAGAATCCACCGACCTTTGGCAGGCAAACTGGCTATCATAGTTATTTGAAACCAAAGTCGACGGCTCATTGACACGAGTGATGTTTTTCAGAACCTAAGTGTTAACAGGTTATTTTCTATACCACTTGGTCACTGATAAAACGATCATTTTCACATTCAACTTAGTATGTTTGTATATTTCATATTTGTTTTGTCTTGAAATATTATAAAGTTTCCTTATATTTGACTAAATGATTACAATGAATTGCTGTTTATTGTCCGATAGCAAATTAAGTGCATATGCAGGACGAAAACAGTCCACAGGGAGACCTTAACCGGAATCATTATTCTGGATCTGCACCAACCAAATCTTAAATAGCACTCACTTAGCAGAAACTCCGCAAAAAACAATTTTCAAGTTTTTTTATTTGACCCATCCGTGGATCGAATACACGACACCCCGCCCTTGCGACAAACATGCTGCCACAGGATCACCAAGTAAGCTTTTTTTCATTCGCCTTTTACGCATAAAGTTATCAGACCTTCAAATAGAACCGCTTACTTTAGTATAGCAATATTCTTCTAGCAGTTGTGTTATCATCATTACAATTTTGCATGTGAAATGTGTTACACAATTTAATGAAAAGTTACATTTGGTACAGAGATACTATGTAATATGTGAAGAGTAGCACACAACAACAACAACAAAAACAAAAATAAAATTAACAAACAAAAACTCATATACAACCAAAAACAAAAATCCGCAGTAACCATGAGAGCAATCAAAGAAGCATTTCCAAAAGATAGATTTATAGAAACGACAAGTAATATTTCAACGATATTTAAATGTTTTCATGTTTACACTATTTGTTTAGTCTTGCATGATTCCCATAACTAAACATTCGTATATTCACATGGAAGAAATTTATCACTAGGACTATAAATATGAATTAAAGGGATTTCGATAGAACTTTGGTATAAAGCTACTTATGAAAATACATTACCACACATTTTTTTAACATTATTCCACTTTCTTGATGTTGAAAAATAGATATTATGTTGAAAAAAGGTGAGAAAATAAAACAATCACCCTGATTTGATAATTTGAGTGGATTTACATTTCGATACTACGGATATCTATGATGAGTTTATTTTTATCGATATTGATAGATTCCAACAAATTTTTTTTTTATATTTTTCGCGATACATTTCTGAGCTAATATGCTTATATAAATTTGGGGCCAGTAATATTTATTGAGCAAAGGGTGATTAAAACATTACAGTCAGGTAATAGTTTAATTGAATGCAGGTCTTCAAAAATTCTTTCCTTGTACTTCACAATAACACCAGAGCAACATTGATTTCGTCAGGTTTTAAACAAAAATATAAAGGCAAGTTTACGATGTG